ACTAACATGTTTAAATTTTATTTCCTTTATTTTTTTTATTCCATAAACCAGTGTAATAATTTAATTCTGACTTTTGGGACTGGAGAAGCGTTGTACAAACTCTGTCGCATTATGGAAGCTCGCTAGGTAATATCGGTGTCTTGTTACCACCATACCTAAAAGCAGGTTAAATATATATGCAGTTGGAAATCCGATATGTATCGCAAAAGGCCTCGACTTGGTTGCGGTGTGTGACGGTCACGCAGGAAGCGTTAACGAGATCAAGTGGCATGCGCGCGCCAACCCCTCATAACGCGCATTGCGTATTATGTAGTGTACGCAATGCTACATATAATATGACGCTATTCAAACAAATAATCATTTAGCAGGTACCCCAGTTGTTATATATAGTTCTGCGGGTCGCTTGAGTTCAACAGATATCGTAAGTCTTATAGCCTCCGACGATGTATAATGGTTTTCTTTGAAACCAGACACTATTTTTTTTTATGTTACATGAGGGCAGGAGGCTCACCTGATGTTAAGTGATACCGCCGCCCATGGACACTCGCACTGCCAGAAGGCTCGCAAGCGCACTGCCGGCCTTTTAAGAATTGGTACGCTCTTTTCTTGAAGGACCCTAAATCGAATTGATTCGGAAACACTTCAGTGGGCAGCTGGAGTGCAAATGAAGTATAAAGTACGGACATAACTCATCACTTCGAAGTACTCTTCAACCTGTTGCAAATTCCAATATTACTTAATAAGGAAGAAAAACATCCCGTAATTAAAAAGTCATCTTAATATGCCGATTTCTACGAGATGGTGGAGGCGAGACATGCAATCTCGAAGTTATCACACGCGCTACGGATGGAGGTATCAATCAAGTTCAACAATCGGCAAGAAAACTTTCCGTTTAAGTTGTACCTATATACTTTGACTACGTATACTTACCTATACATGATACAACGGTTCGGAGTTGTACCATGTGCGACGACCCGCAGTTATCTATTATATATATTATCGTAATTGAATAAATCAATCACATATTCGTTTTATGCGGGGTCTCAAGATATCAAGCCGAGACGTAAAGTAAGCACCTAAGCTTTCCAGTTTCTGGGGGTTTTAAATCTTGAGAACTTGCCAAATACGAGATCGATGTCGAATTGTTGGTAAATCTTCCCATCCCAGAAAAAAATTATTAAAAAGAAAATTTATAAAAGGTTACACTGCCATTGCATTGTTATCTTCTCGACATTGACAAAAACTGTATCACGAAATGTTTTAAAAGACGCACTCAAAAAAAGGTACTATTATTCTACAACGCGCGTTTATGAAGGAGTTTATTTTCAAGTCATTATCACTAGTTAAAAATGTAAATAACATAAGAAAGCAAGAATTTTGTAATAATCGTTATTTTCGAGACTGCCTAAAGGCAGTATAATAACTAATACAGGTTAAAGCATTTTCTAATGAAGAAAACCAGAAAAATGAATAAAATTGGTATAAAGCAGATCACAACATATTTTTTATAAGGAATGTAGTTTTAAGTCACAATCATGCCTAGTTTCATTAATATGTTTTAAACCAAACACATGCATTACTTATACTTTATTTAGTAAAACAATTGGAAACTTAAATGGTAAATAAAGAATACATATTATAATCTAAAATATAGATTTCACTTATTCAAATTCATGGATTTATATAAATTTGTCAGAAGTTGTGCATATACTTTTAGTGGGATCATACAATTTAATCTAAAAAGTAAAATCCATGTTAATATGCATGCTTATATTATAAGTAGGAAGCATGGATATTTAGTATAAGTAGTTTTCATCTAAAAGACATTATTCAATTTCCCTTAATGAGAATCTAATTTTAGATCAACAATAGTGATCATCATTTGTTTTGTCCTTAACATTAATAGATTCATTAACGAGCTAATTAAATGATATCTTTCTTTATTAAATAAGTGTTTTTATTTATCTTACTATGAATTTTATCCCCATTTAAGTACTTGTCTTAATACATATTAATAATAATAAGCCCACAGGGCAACATGTGCTGGTGTCGAGTACTTGAGTGCTCAAAGGGAAAATGCCATTCCTCACCTCCAGCTTGCCCTAATTGGCAAACTGACAGGGACACATCTGGCTAGCCTTCATTAGCTGTCCAGACTGAAGTCACTAAAGCTATATGCTCAGGAGTGGAAGTATCTAATGGTGGGTCCATCCACTAAATTGGAGAGTCACCATCTGCCAAAAGACCCTCAAAAGACTGCTGATTAATATATTTCAGAATACTACTAAATACTAAGAGTATGACACAAGAAATGATATTTCATACATGCATCCAATAGGCATGCTAACACCATATTACCTTAACAAAAGCTTCTTAAAAGCATGCATTACGATTTTAAGTAATCCCAACATGCATAGGTGCAGAAATCTTGAGTGCATTATTCAACACTGGTAGTGCCTCTTCTTGTCCCCACTAGTGGCTTACCAGGGAGTGTAGGCGGATCGGCGAGGGCTGTCACCGGCGTCCAAAGCGCCACAGCCACAAGAACTACCCAATACATCTTTCGCGCAAAATACATTTTACGCTTTGCGCCAACTATTGCACTTCCTAATCATTACGCACTCGACGATAATAATGTACTTCCAAAAACAGTAGTGTTTACTGCTTTTTCTATTTATAAACACATAGTATTCATTTTCAAAAATGCAATACACAATAATTAAATCAAATAACGAGCAGCACAACCGGCTTCAACAGTAAATATTGCACACATTAAGCATACAGCACCCGCTTTAATTATCCTTCTAGTAATTATAAATAATTGCTTAACATTAACAATGAGAAACCGGTTCATAAAAATGTTAGTTATAAGCCGATTTAGACATTTGGTAACATTTTTTATTTTTAAAATACATGTCTTGAACAGCACAAACAACACAATACCACAACACAATAAGCTAATTTAAAAGTATTCTGTGCACTAATCGCTACTGACACAGAGAAACACTCAAATCCCAATCGATGTGAGCATCAACTATCAAGTATATACTATAGATGAGGTAGCACCACAGACCTGTTTGAGAAATTAAAACTTATAGTAGGCGTTTTCCAATTACAGAGCATTATGCGACTCAGTGCCGCACAATGCCGCATAATGCTGAAGCTTAATTGGAACGTGAATTAGTTTTCAAATGCATCAGCAGAGTGCGCTAAGTCAGTGTTGTAAAAAAAATGTTATGAATTGAGTTAGCAACCTCATTAATGTATAAATAATGTGGTAAACAATAATAATTGGTTGAAAACTTTTTACGCTTATTTTAATCATCAAATTATTTCATTAACATTTTTGAAGTTATACTTCTTTAGGCGCGTTATGAAAAATTTATGAGAGTGAAATTTTACGATGCGCGCGCACCGTGACACAAAATTAGGAGTGTGATTATAGCGTGCGCGAGCGAGATAGGAATAAGACAATCTACAAGTAAAAAGAAATAGAATATGCGTGAAGTTCGTATGCCAAGAATTTTGAATGACCATAATGACATTTGTCATTTACCTTTTAAACAAATAAAGGAGTTTTAATTACTTTTTCAAAAAAAATTAATTTTGAATTATATATAATCAGAAGTGATTTAAATTGAATATTTAAACCAATACTAATTAATATTTGTGAAAAAACTGTGCTCATCAACCTTCCTAAGTGCTTCATTACAATTGAGGTTAACTATCAGTTTGTATTATTATTATCGAGTAATGTTTTGATTAAAAAAATTACCACATTGTTTAATCAAAACATGTAATTTTTCTCTAGCAAATATAAGGACAAGAGACAAAAAACAATTGATGAATCAGTGTAAGTGCACTAAATTGAATACAAAAAAAGAGTTGTCATCTTATCGCTGTGAAACATCAAAAACTGGAGGTGGAACAAAGCCAAACTATTTTTAATAATGCCAAAGAAGTATAACTTCTTACGCGCGTACATAAGTACACGCACCCTTTTTTTTTATTGAAATAATAGAAAACCTTTAAAGAATATAAGGTTTTAACAAGCTAAATTAACAGTAAAATATTTAGTTTCATGTAAGAAGTTTACATCATTTACGTTTTGAGTAATATTTTTTAATGATTTCTAAAAAAATTATATACTTTTTCAAAACCATTGCAATTTTTTCTAAAGTATAATCCTGTAATATAAATTTGTTTACAGATCCGAATTTTAAAATAAAATTGTATTCATATTTTAAATGTGGAATATAAAAAAAGTAACTATTTATACCTTCATCCATACTAATATTTTTTTTTTAGCAGTTTGAAATAACTTTAATTATTTTCAAAATCTACGACGAAACGAAAGCCTTACAAATTTTTCAAAAATAAATAATATTTACTAACGAAAATTTCGATAAATGCCAACTTAAAGAAAAATACTGGTCAATTTTCTGTCACTGTGTTGGTATTGTTTGCGAGAAGCACGCGAGAGCATTCGTTTTGAGAGTGCTCAATTGTGCGAAGCGTTGCTGTAGTTGGAACACTCAACGTTGAGCATTATGCCGCAAAATGCGCTCTAGTGCTGTAATTGGAAAACGCACATTACTATCGCAGCTTACTATATACTTTCGTAATTTTGAATATTATTCTGTAGTTGTCAGTCCATAGTGATACTGGGAATCTAGATCGTGTATAGATTGCGCCACCGTCGAAAGAAAAATCATTTTATATGAGACTGTCCCCCCCCTGCGTCAGTCTATATTTGAAAGGGTTTGTAATCTACATATTTATTATTTTGACTTATTGTAAATCACGAAAAAATATATATTTTTTTCTTTTTGCTTTGATAATTGTAACCAAATTTGATTTTTACTTCATGTAAGTTAAGTAGCAATATTTAGAAGTAATTAATGCTTACTTCTTTTCACAAATTAAAAAATTATGTAATATTTGAGGTTAGAACTTTGTTTTGACAGTTTTCTAATATCAATACAGATATTCCTACAAATATGGGTGGGCACGGTCACGGAGCACCTTACACAGTTCCGCATTACTCACAGTTCAAGATTGATGGTATTCGTGAGCTCGAGGAGGTTCAAAGTGAGCTTGCCAAGAGGGGGCTGAAGGATCCATGGATTCGGTAATATACCATATTTAACTAACCCACCTGATTTTTTTTTTAATTTGGTGCTCTTATGTATGTTATCGTTTACCTGTTATAGGATGCAGAATTATCACAGCTACATTATTATCCTGAACAAGATATTTGCCCAAATGTGATAAATTAAGTAATTTTATGTTTCAATTATAATGTATTGTAATTGTGTAAATTTGGTAGATAATATTATAAATTAGAGTATTTACTTTGAATTGTTGTGTAAACAAAACATAGTTAAATGCAATATTTAAGCAAAATTTAATCATAGCTGAACTCACGAAAATGTTTTAGAAATGAGGCCTGGCGTTATCACCCTGGATTTGGTACAAAATGGCTAAAGGCGCGCAAGTTATTCTTCAGAGGGTTCCCTCTGGGTCTTGGTCTAACCATTGCCACTGTTGCCTTTAATAAGCTCACTGGAGGTGATGATCATGGCCACCATGGAGAACACCATTAAATTGATTTAAGGTTTTTAATAGCTACAAAGTTAGGATCGTTATTTATCAATAAAATCATTATTTAAAGATGTTTTTTCTTTATTATGAAAACAAGTGCCTATTAAAAGAAGCTGTAATGCTGGATGTTCTCATAATAACCTTCTTTTAATAAAATACAACCACTTTGGGTAAGGAAAACTAATACATATGGTATTTAAGACTTTCACTTAATGTATTGCCCTAAATAAAATTATTTTAAAATCAAAAAGTTTTATAGACCAAAAATAACAACACTACACCACATTCATAATGTCACGGCACATGCAAATTATTGGTTCAGGTACTACGAGGCTTGAGGTCATCAAAGGAAGGCCGCAAGTAGATAAAGTTCTTCTTAGATGGGTTGTAGCTTTCATGCCCCTGTAACAGAAACACGTTAAAGTAATCTAATGGGATTGAAATCATGTTACTTTATACCTTGACTTGGCTTTGTATTTTTTTTAGGCAGTATCACAATTTTTTTAAGAATCATTTAATACTGACAGGCTTATTACCCAGAAATTTAGCCTATGTAATAAAATTTCACTCCTGTTCATTCATTTTACTAGAAGGCAACTATTTATGAGGAATTAAAAAAAAATTCACCAATAATAATCTAGTGTAATTGTGTACCTTAGACCAGTCATAACCCATTGCATATGCAAAGATCTGACCAGTGTGGTTGAATGCACACTTAGTGAGTGGTTGGTCTAGTGCTTCAAAAGGCTTCAGCTTGGTTCGCGCATCTTTGTCCCAAAATGAAAAGGAACCATCAGAACCAACTGTGGCCAATGTACCATGCACTGGGTGGAACGCAATATCATTCACTGCATAGATATCCTGGAAATATTATAATTACATCATAGAATATCCGAAAGTTGTAGTTACAGTCATTACTGAAAATAATAAATCACTATGACAGTATACAGTTATTTACATAATAATAAACTCGTCTACACCCAATGAGCAGATTTTTTATAGCAGATTTATTAAGGTTAATGGGCAAGAGTTTTATAATCTTACCTGATAACCATTATTAGTGCCAGATGAACGATGGCACTTAAATGTAAAGTTATCCTTAGGGTTTGTTGGATTTACATACTGGATTGCAACACGGCCTTCTACAGAGCCTACAGCAAAACCAGTTGGTTGCTTGGTCTTCTTGTCTTTGAAAATTGCAAGGCAACGATGCTGGTACTTAAGTGGTGAATCTACACGCTTTACTTCTGCAGGTTTGCCCTCTAATGAGTAAAGACAAATGGAGCGATCTGCAAGTCCTACTGCCGCCATTGGGTAGTCCTTATACAAATAATTATAATTTTTAATTTAGGATATAAATAAATCTATGCAAGAGAATGTGAAATTCTATTTTAGCCTATTTTTTAATAAATAGTTACATTCACAGCTGTATCAAATCTTTTAATCAGGAACCTTATAAATAAATGAATAACACCAAATGCCTCTTTGGTGTCAATAACTTAAACAAAAGCAATAAAATTATTTTGTTTGATCAATAATGTTTAATAATTTTTTATATTCCAATTACTTTAACAATAAATGTAATTAATGTAAATATAAAATTTCAATAATATAATAAAACATCAGATAAAGCATAGTAAGAGTCTTACCACATCTGCACAATAGCACCTCTCTGATAGATTTAATGACATTATAGGTACTGAACTGCGTGTATCCCAAAACTAAAACATATTTATGTTAATTTATATAACAATGTCATTAAGATATTAATTTTCAAACTGGAAATAACAGATATACCTTTAATGTTTTGTCCCAAGAGGCTGTCATTAAACAGGTGTAATTTGGTGCTTTGACCCAATGACAAGTTTTGACAGGAGCATCATGTGCTGCCACCTAAAAACATTGATATACATTTAAAAAAAATATTGTACTTTAAGATTTGCTTTGTTACAATCCAGAACAATATCTAAGCTGGTAAGTGTAACTGGTAATAAAACAACTAAGTACCTGCACAGAAGTATTAGATGCCAGGTCCCAACATTTGACACTTTTATCTGTTGATGCCATGAATATCTTTGAGCCATCCTGCAATATTTAGAACAAAGTAGATACATTTGTTATTACTTTCACAGAAAACAACCCAAACAATTGTAACATACAATTATAAAAATGACTGATTAAATGACCTAGTTACATCACCTAGGGGTTATAAGGGTTAAAGCTATAATGAGAGGACAAAAACTAATCAATTAAATAAATATGTGCAGTAACACCAACACATTTCCTGTTACCTACATCATGCCATGCTACATCCAAAACTGGCCCACCCATACTCTGAGCAGCTTTTGGTACTGTCTTGCCTGAAGCTTCCACTTCCCAGCATCGGACCTGTAGAAAACCACTTTAATTAAAAAAAGATTTTAACCGAATTATAACTAACTTCATTGTAGGTTACCTGACAATCCCAACTACCGGCAGCAAGGAATGTCTGCGGGACTGAGGGAGGAGAAAACTTAAGCGCTGAGACGGTATCATCAGGCGGAGATGCGACTTCTACATCCTTGTTAGGATTTGTTCCGCCAAACATCTTGCTAAATAAAGCACGTAACTGTAATAGTATTGATTCTGGTTTAGGTTATACCGGTATATGTTATTATGTATTCCGGAAGGAGTAAGCTTTCCCTTTTTTTTAAATGACAAAGCCTTTTATTTTGTACCACAAACAATTTATATATTTCAACAAGCCTAATTTAGATTATTGCAATCAAAACAACATTTGAGTAGCGAGAAGAGATAAACCACAAAATATGTAAACATACAGAATGACAATTGACACGGTACGTTCGTACATATAAACTAGTTAATTGTCATTTCTCAGTTGCTAGTTTGCTACTTGTATTAAATTTTAAATAATATTCCCGTGTTTATGTCTTAAATTTGAATTTGTATTTTGTAACCTTGTTTATTCAACTTCAAAGTGCTTTTGCTTTATTACCTCTACTAAATCTTTTAAGTTTGAGTAATGAGTGCTCCTCTCAACTCTGGCTTTTAAGCATCAGGTATCATGGTTAGCGTTGAGCATTAGACAAAATTTTGACAAGGTTTTGAATTTTAATTTTGATCAATCTTAAGCTTGCACCTTGTGAGAATCAATAAAATTTGTTAATAAAACTTTGGAGACTAGGAATGAGAACTGAAAAGTATATTTACTACATAACTTAGCTAGTTATTGCTAAGTTTGAAACAATAAACTCTTGACTCATATAACTTTTAAGATGAGCAACAATGTAGAATATGTCCAAATAAAAGACTTGAAGCCCAATATGAAGAATATAAATGCAATTTTTATTGTGCTGGAAGTGGGCCCGCCGACATTGACGAAGGAGGCGCGCGAGGTGCGCACATTGCGCGTGGCCGATGCGAGTGCATCAGTAAATCTGTCCGTCTGGGACGAGCCGGGTGCGCTTTTGCAGCCCGGTGACATCGTGCGCCTCACGCGCGGCTATGCCTCGCTGTGGCGGCAGGCTCTGACTCTCTACTCAGGAAAGTCAGGAGATATCCAAAAAGTTGGAGAGTTCTGCATGTTGTTCAATGAGCAGGTGAATATGAGTGAGCCACAACCAGCTCCGACACCACCAGCTACTACTCCTGCTGTACCAGCCCCTGCAGCTTCTGCGCAACCTGCTTCTGACCGCTATAACCAAGCATCGGAGCACAGTGGTCCTGGGAAGCACCCACACCGAACCTATGTACGTGGTCGGGGACACCAACGCGGAAACAACCGCAGGTAGCCCACTCCCTAGCACATGGTTGTGAATAACTGAAATGGTTCTTTATATTACCTTATTAAATTTATCTTTAATAATGTGTATATAAAAAATTTATAATATTATTTACATTAAAATTATTGTGGGTTTGTCAAGTGCTTGCACGCTATAATTTGTGTTTTGTTTCCATTTGAACTTTTAAGTTTTATGTTATTATGTAAAGCTCACAATGTCCAAATATGGTAAATGTAAGTTGTAGTAGTGGTGTTGACTAATATTAGTATATACATTTTTACATGTAATTGTATTTCAATTATGTTACCAGTTTCATTATAAAGCTGGCATGAATAAAATAGCTTTAAGCAGTGTTGGTCTTGAGCGTTCCCGTCCTGATCATGTATGATACTTTTTTTCTTTATTCAAATAACATTTCTTCAAATGGTAAAGGAAATAATTGTGGGGTGGGTCTGTAAATCTATGACATACCTTCCGCCACTATCACCTACTTTTGTAAAAGAGAATCAAAAATGCATTGCATCTATTTTGGGTGGTAGAACTGTTTCATTAATTTTATTAGTTAATTGGAACTGCACTTACTTCTAGTGATTTATTAATATTAAGTTTAATTTATGTATACTATTATAATTTAGTTTAATTTATGTATTATATTTGAAAAGTGTAATTAAATGTGATGTCTGTTACAATTCATTTGCATTTTTAAGTTAGATCAATTATTCTACAGGACTTTAACAGTCCTAGTTGAAAATGTTACATTCACTTTTCTGACCTATATTCATCTTGTAAATTTATTTTAGATGTCCTTCATATGTCAAGTGATTAGGATATTAAACAAAGTATGAAATTAAAGACATACAATATCATAATTTTATTATTCTTTATTTCGAATCAAACCCAGATCGTTTGGTTACGCAGCCTAGATACCGAATACAGCGCCATCTATCGGGCTGATGTTGTGAAACTTAACCATCCAGGGAGACACCTAAACGTATACAAAAACATCATTGAAATCGGTTTAGCCGTTTAAGAGGATTATATATACAAGAATTATACAAAATAAGTTTGTGGTAGAATATTATCTAACATAAACTTATTTTATTTATATAAATCTTAATTTTGCAAAAATCTAATGATATATTGTGATGATTCAGTAGCAACAGTTAATAAATTTAACTAAAAACATGCAACAAAGTGAACATACTTTAACTTCAAAGCTGTAAAACGGATTCTTTCTCAGTCTTAATAAATATATAAGCCTGGCTTAGAGCAACATGGCTTTGTTTTATTATAATATCTATTATAATTGACCGAAAACAGTATTTGCACTATTTAAGTTCTTAACTTAAATGAAACTCGTTCGAAGCTGGGTGACAACTGCTTATTCGCTTTAAACTTGCGTGTATTAAGGGTTCTTAAATCTAAGTTACACTTATGTTACCTATAAAGAATATAAGTGTAGTCCACCTATTGGACCTTATCGGAAACGAGATTATTATATTACAACTAGCTGCCGCCGCGAACTCCGTTTCTCCTTAATGCCTAGCCTACCTTTTTAGTACATACCAACATGGAACATTTTGCTATGCTACCTCAGAACTGTTCGGTTTTCAGGAATGAAAACTTTTTAGGTTTTTCTATGATTTTTCTCTATATAAACCTCAGAGTTCAAGTTATAAGTTCTTAACTAACAAATAAAAAATAGGGGTTGATCGTAGAGGGTAGATGAAAAATAAGGGCTGCATGTATTTTTGTATGCTGTATCATAAAAAAATTGTCTAAAAATTATTATTTGGGGTGGACTGGTTATCACTTAGGGGTTTAAAAGATAGATAGTAGCCGATTCTCAGACTTACTGGATATGCATTGAAAATTCATAAGAATCGATCGAGCCGTTTCGGAGGAGTATGGGAATTGGGAATGAACATTGTGAAACGAGAATTTTATATACTTATTTATATAGATTATAGAGATTTATGAGAGTGGGAAAAACTAAACAAATTTATTACTTAACTGATGTTTTACATAGGTAGACTATATGGGTGGCGTTTTATTTTGTTTTTCTAGTAAGCTGACCTTTGAGAGTTGATATTATTTACAAATCGTTGACTGGAGAACCTATTAAAAAAAAATAGTTCTTCATTTAATAAAGTTTATTATTTATCAAATGGATAGGTGAGACTTGTTAAATGTAACCTTGACACTCGTATTACGTTGAATTATGACTATGCTATTTTGACCTTAAAGTTTATGAATAGGTCAAATCATATGTAAAGTTAAGTAATGATGATTTACATTGAAATTGTGGAGTCATAGCTACGTAAGATGCTCTGCCCACAAGATTGACATAGACATAAACATACCATTTATTACTAACAAAAACACACACACATAAACACACAAAATAACAATATTCAAAGAAAATAATATAATGAGAGATATAAAAAAAAATCCCCTTTTCCTATTCGGTTCGTTTCAAGTGTGTAATGCGTGTGCTGTGGTTGTGCAGAATATTCCACAGCGCTGGTCATTCTGCCAGAGGCCATAGCAGTTAGTTTGCGCCACAGTCGCAAACAAGAAAGAAAAGGAATGTAATAATACTTAGTACAAAAAAAGTAGAAAAATAATATTAGTAAAAGTTAGCAGCGTAAGTAATGAAGACTTGTGTAAAGGTTTAAAGTAATTAAAATAAATTGATTCTCTTTACATTTATACATAGAACATAGCAGTCACTGTTAGTCTATCGGCCAAGCATGTGACTCAATACTAAGGGTGCGTCCACCTGGCGAATGTGCAGCTCGCGAGCCGTTTGTGAGGCATATTCGCCAGATGTGGACGCACCCTAAGGGCTCATTTACATTAGCGGCACGATGTCAACGGCAAAGGCAACTGCCAATAATTCCTTTGCTAGAGATTGCTGCCCATACCGTTACTTTCGGACTATGCAGTGGTTTTTGATGTTTCATTTTGAGACTTTAGCTGACTGAGGAACATCAGTCAGCTAAAGGAAAATACCTATCCGTGGGGAATTGGCAACTATCACCCCAGATTTATTGACAAGAGTTTTCACAAATCTGCGTTCGCGTTTGGGTGGGAACTGACCAACGTTACGAGGTGTAATGTAACACGTTACACAGCGAGCATTCGTTAAGTAGAATCAAAGATACCAAAGGACAGTATAAAAACTTTGTACGCATGTCTCCGATCGATTTTGAACAACTCGTGAATTTAAATGGACCAAAAGTACTTAAAATAGTGTTATTTATAGAAAATCATAATCATGATCACTCGCGACCTGCGACGCGTACTGAGTGAACCGCGTAACAGTCAAAGTATTCGCCGAAAAACCGACAGCCGGGTGGAGCACTCAAAGCGAGTTTTTTTTTTTTTTTTTTTTTTTATAGAACGGGGGGCAAACGGGCAGGAGGCTCACCTGATGTTAAGTGATACCGCCGCCCATGGACACTCTCAATGCCAGAGGGCTCGCGAGTGCGTTGCCGGCCTTTTAAAAATTGGTACGCTCTTTTCTTGAAGGACCCTAAGTCGAATTGGTTCGGGAATACTTCAGTGGGCAGCTGGTTCCACATAGTGGTGGTGCGCGGCAAAAACTGCCTTGAGAAACGCTCAGTTGTGGAACGTCGGACGTCGAGGTGATACGGGTGGAATTTCGTATTCTGCCTCGACGTCCGATGATGAAACTCAGCTGCAGGTATTAATCCGAACAACTCCTCTGAACACTCTCCATGGTAAATGCGGTAGAAGATGCAGAGTGACCCCACATCTCTACGCAACGCCAAAGGATCAAGCCGCTCGGAGAGGGATTGGTCGTCAACGATTCGAACCGCTCTGCGTTGTATACGGTCAAGTGGAAGGAGCTGGTACTGGGGAGCCCCCGCCCAGAGGTGAGAGCAGTACTCCATGTGGGGCCGAATTTGCGCTTTATATAGTTGCATGCGGTGGCCCGGAGTGAAGTACCGTCTCGCCTTACTGAGCACACCAAGCTTTTTGGAGGCTAATTTAGCCTTTCCCTCCAAGTGACCGCGAAACTGAACGTCGCTCGATATGTCAACGCCAAGTATTCCAATGCTGGCTGTGGCTTTAAGAAGAGTGTTTTCGAAAAGAGGAGTAGCGACAAAGGGTGTTTTTTTAGCGGAAAACGCGCAAACTTGTGTCTTCTTGGGGTTAAATTGGACTAGGTTTTGTCTGCCCCAATCTGAGACTCCACGAAGTAGAGTTTCAACTTCAGACACAAGTTTGTTCCGGTACTCATCAACAACTGCCCGAGAAATACCTGCCCGGCCAGTGTAAAAAGTATCCCCAGTACTGTCATCCGCATAGCAATGAATGTTGCTAAGTTTCAACATATCATTGATATGCAGAAGAAATAGGGTCGGGGATAGAACACAGCCTTGTGGGACCCCAGCGTTTACGGGTTTTAGGTCGGAACATGCTCCGTCGATGACGACCTTGATGCTCCGATCGGCCAGAAAGCTGGAGATCCAATTGCGTAATTTCTCGGGAAGCCCATAGGCTGGAAGCTTCGAGAGCAGTGCTCTGTGCCACACCCGATCGAAGGCTTTCGCTATGTCCAAACTAACCGCTAGCGCCTCCCCTTGGACTCAATTGCCTCTGCCCATCTATGTGTAAGGTATACAAGAAGGTCACCAGCCGAACGACCACGACGAAAGCCGTACTGATAATCGCTAATCAGCTGGTGGCCCTCTAGATACCTCAAGAGCTGGCAATTAACAATGGATTCCATTATTTTGGAGAACAAGGAGGTTATAGCTATTGGGCGATAGTTGGACGGATCAGAGCGATCGCCTTTTTTAGGGATCGGATGTATCAAAGCGGTCTTCCAGCACTTCGGGACAGTGCCGAGCGAGTACAGGTACCGGAAAAGGCGCGTTAAGACCGGAGCCAACTCAGGAGCACAAGTACGCAGCACAATTGGGGGGATACCATCCGGCCCGCTCGACTTATGAATGTCCAAGGAAGATAGTGCTTTG